TCCTATTTACCTTCACAAACGGGAAAGAAGAGCATCTTTTAACCCACTTCCATTCTCCATTATTTTCCTCGTTTCTTTTCCAATTCCTCTCCAAACATAACCTATTTTTTCCTTCTTTCGGGGAAATGAATAGTATAACACCAAATATGGTGTTATACTATTCATTTCTCCCAAAATGAAGATGAACTTTGAGTTGTCGGTTTTAGTCTCTCGTTTTATATATTTATATATTTCTGGTTTTTTATATACTACTTATTGTTTAAATGTAATATTTAATACTTATAATATTGTGTTATAAATTAAATTATATTAATTAATTATAAATATAATTTTTTTTGTTTATTAATTTTATATTCAAATTTAAATACATATTCAAATTTTAAAACATAATAACGTATTTTACAAAAGCTTATAATTACGTATTATAAATATAATATTATTTATTTAATATTATTGTAATGAAAAAGTTATAGATTATATGTTTGTTAAAACTAAATTAATAGAATGAGTGTATTTGACAATTTATATAAGTTAGAAGAACGGAATATACTTTTTGGGAGCAAAAATAAGGTAAAAAATAGAGTAGAGTTGGAGATGATACACTATTTACCCTATTTTATATTCCATTTTTAGTGGGAAAATGAAAGTGGGTTGGAGATGGTGTTAAAGCCCTAAACTGCAATCAATATAATAGATAACCGTGAAAACCACAAAAATTGATGCTGTCATCAAAATAATCTACAATTGAGAAGAATATTAAACTTAGGGTTTAAACGTTAAAAAAACGTAACTCCCCGACTTTACTCGGTGTCACCAAGTAAAACGCATACAACCTCCCCATTGTCATGGTTTATCGTATGATTCTCCAATAGAGACAAGAGATTCGGGTCGGACAAAGGGTTCGCTCTCAGGTATGAGTATAGTTCTTCCCTAGCAAGCCATTGCACTATCTGATCCGTGAACAAACTTCAGCCACCTCCTCTCTAGTCACTGCCACTGACAGCCCAGGTCATCGCACCACCTCCTACAACAACGGCAATGTACGTTTTTGCTAAAAAAATCAAAGACAAAATAAGAGATTAATTATCCTCGTACATCACAATGAGTGACTAGTGAGATGGGAGGAGACAGACTAAATTGAGATTTGAGGCTGTGGATGCAAAACTTAATAATGGGGTGGTAAAAATCTGAAAACAAAGAGTCAAGGCATGAAAATTGAAAAATAACAAAATTGTTGTGGTTAAAATCCGAATTACAAAAATCCACTATTCATAAACGCGATGGGATTTAAATTAGTATACAAATACATGGATAGGGTCAATCACAAATATATGGCTCGTATAATCCAGTTTCAAGTTTCAACACATATAATAGTTACAGGTTTTATATATTATTAAAGAAGATATTTCATAATAGATAAGAATATATGAAACAACAAAATATCAACATAAAATAGAACTTTCATTTTATTTTATTATTTTGGAAAGTGAAAACACAACATACATATAAATACACTTTTTCTATGTCAACCTGACAAACCATCGAATACACGACTTGGAACTTATATATTTGACCAAATCATCACATATAGAGGCTCACGTTTGGCAACCTTTGTGATGGGACAACAATGAGTGGTTCTTTTTTCTTTAGTGTAAAGCCAAAATTTTCAGATAGGTCATGTTCTTCACCTTCAGGCAAGCTCCAGTCAAACGAGTGCAAGAGTGAAGCCAATATATACATTTGCATTTTCTCGGCCAAATGAACCCCTGGGCACAATCTTCTCCCGGACCCAAATGGGAAGAAGTTTAAATTGCTTCCCTTGAAATCATATTTGTTTGTCAAGAACCTCTCTGGATTGAATTTTAACGGATTGTCCCAATACTTAGGATCACGATGGATTGACCAAACATTCAGAAACACTGTACAACCTTTTGGAATGGTGAATCCAGCTACTATGCAATCCTTGCTTGGTGATCGTGGTAGTATGAGAGGCAGTACTGGGTGCAACCGGAATGTTTCCTTAATAGTAGCTTCTAGGTATGGTAGTTTAAGGAGATGAGATTCTTCGACAATATTGTCAAGTCCCACAACATCTGCTAATTCTTTTTGAATCCTTTTCATTGTGTCATGATTTCGCATGATCTCTGCCATTGCCCATTCTATCAGTGTTGTTGTCGTTTCTGATCCTGCAACCATAATATCCTGATACAACAAAAGTCCAACTATTGTCAATTTTGTAGTTCAACTAAATGGAAAATCGTGTAAACATGTTATTTCTGAAGCACATCCACACTAGAAGCTTACTGGAGAGTTGTTTTAGTAAAATAATTTTGACAAAATCAAAAAATATATTGTGAGGGATTTTTATCACATAGTTTTACACTTAGCTTGTGAATTTGAAAATCTCTCTTAGAGATTTTTTCATAATTCTAGTTGTATTTGAACTTATTGATTCTTTTGGTTAATTTGTTTAGTTTTCCTTAAGACGAAATTTTTTAGTGAAAAAACATATATTCCTCAGCACGTGTTTCATATATATCTGATGCGACCCACAAAATGTGAAGCATGTAAAACCATTAATTTGTGAAGTATCTTTTCTGCCTTTTCGATGTAGTTTTAAATAACAATGATTACCAGGAGAAGTCCCTTTATTTGGGTATTGCTAATGGATGTTGCATCTTTGTGGCCCATGAGATCTAATAAGATCTGTAAAAAATCTTTCTTTCCTTGAGGCCTAACATCATCCTTAGGTTTTCTGGAGTTTGATTCGATTCGATCGTCAATAATGCTTGTGAAAATTTGATCCACCTGATAAAGTAGCTTCTTGGTCTTCCTCAAGACACCTTGTAGATCAAGCCATGCAAGACTAGGGAAGATGTCAGATACATTCGGCTGTCCCATGAGTTCAACAACATTTGAAGCAATCATCCGTAACTCTGCTACAAAATGGCTACCTTTTGCGAATGGATCTGAAGTGTTTTCCCAAACCATGCTCGTTAGGACGTTAACCTCGGTCAAGAAAGCGATCTCGCTAATGTTGATTGTGGTTCCAATCTTACTATAAATATTCTTGATAGTTTTTCTAACCTCATCCCTTCGAAAATACCTGCATGCTTCAAGATTCTTGCTGCTTAGGACCTCATGGACAAATAGCTTACGAAGGTTACGCCAATCTGAGTTGTTGTCAGACCATATAACATCTCGGGCTCCAAAAGACATTGTAAAGGCAGAAATTGATGGATTGCGGTTAGCAAAGATCTCATCTTGCTCACGGACCACCACTTTTGCTATGTCAGGGCTGTTTATAACGACATGAAGCTTGCTTCCCAAGTGAAACTTGAAAATGGGCCCGTAGATGTGAGCCAAGTTACAGAACTGCTTGTGCATGTCACCGCTAAGAATTGGAAGGTAACCTACAATCGGTAAGGAACGGGGACCTGGTGGCAACGGTGGTGCACCATGTAAGGAGCTCAAAGATTTCAATATGTGCCATAAAATAGCCAAGATAGTTGCTGAAATGGTGGCAACTGCCAGCTGAGTAAGTTGGTCTTTGTTGCCGCTCATCACTTCCCACAACCATGAACCGTCGTTGTTAATTATTAGTTGTGCCATTTTTGCTAATTATGAATGTGTGTGTAGAATGCTACAAATGGATGGTTGAATTTAAACTCCAAGTGATGGGCTATGTTTGACTAAAAAAAGCGATAATTAGATATTTGAGTAAAAAGAAAAAAGAAAATACGTTAAGCCTAGATTTTATCGGTTACTTTTGTAATAGTTTGATGAATAAGTGTATTATTGGGCACTACAAGAAAAGTCCTTATTACTAACTAATTTTTGGTGACGATCATCTTTCATCTTTCAGTCGTAGTCGCCAGAAATTAAGTGGTCAATTTTAATAATCCTACAAATTTAATGACCAATTCAATGTGATGGTTACTAATTTGGTCCCTTAACCGCGAAAAATTAAACTATTTTTGTTTTATATCATAACTATTTAGTGACAAAAAATAATAATCACTATGTTAACTATATAATGACTAAGAATAATGGTCAATACGTTAGAAGCTTAGTGACAAAAAAATGATCACTGTATTGGAGGTTTAGTGATTAAAAATAGTGGTCACTGATTATATATATATATATATATATATATATATATATATATATATATATATATATATATATATATATATATAGTTAATAAAAATTATAATATTTTTATTAATATTTTTTATTTTTGAAAATGACAAGAGTTTGTATTTTTTTTACACATAATTTTGCAAAGAATGGTTATATTGAGTTGTGCTTATCAAACATATTTATTATAATAATATTTGGAAAAAAATAGAAAAAAACACAATAGAAAAAAAAAAGCTTACAATCAAAACCTAATGGTCCGCAAAGAAAATAAGTTGCAATATTTATGGTCCAGGATCCATACTGATAAATAAATTAATATTTTACTGTTGGTCACGTGGTTGACACATGGATCAACTACATCCTAACTTCAATCCCTTTCTCTAACAAGTGCTCTTTTACCGACTGAATTGGTACCTGCAAACAAATAACAAATGAAAAATATTATTATATTAATTAATATTAAAATTAAAACAGTATAATATATATACTTTTTGTAAAAGAGAAATCATGGGTTGGATTTGTATTTTGACTAAATAAAAGAGATTAAAACCCTTTTCAATTTCTAGATTCTGAATTGAATAAGCTACCAATATTGATAATTGTTCATGGAGCAGCCAAAGAATGATTCTGTATCTTATGAAACTGCCGAACAGATCATGCTCCGGTGGGACGCTACAGCTTCGGAAGATGCCATGGTTTAAATGATCTTTGAAGGTGATCTCCAAGAGATCGATCGATACTTAGAAGAAGTCGATCGAATCTAACTATCCATGGAGTCAACTACTCTATCGGACGATGACGGAGCCGCCAGAGTCTAGGAGCGGTTAAAGAAAATCAACGACGGTATTCAGATTGCCATGGCTAGACTTGAGGATGAGTTCCGTAACATAATCATCTCCCATGCTAGTCCCGTTGAGACAGAGACACTTACTGAGTTGATGTCATCAAATCACTTGACTCCTAGAACCAGCACCTCCATTAGCGAGTTTCCAGGAAACGAAGATTACAGCAGCCGAGGTGAAGAAGGCTCCATATCCCGAGACGGCTCTTCTTCTCTAGTCTAGAACAAAGCGAGAGTAGCAATACAATCTTGAGCTACAAATCTATGAGTAGTATTCGCGAGATAGAACTGATTCCTTCAGATGTCGTATGTGATCTTCGCAGCATCGCGGAGCGTATGATCGCCGCCGACTACTTCCAATAGTGCATCCAGGTGTACGGTAGTGTCCGGAAATCTGTGGTAGATGTGTGCTTCAAAAAGCTTCGAGTTGAGAAATTAAGCACCAGTTATTTCCAAAGGATGGAATGGGAGGCTTTGAATACGAAGATTGGGACGTGGATGTGTGCAACGAAAATGTGCGTTAGGGTTTTGTTCGCAAGAGAGAAGAGACTCTTCGAGCACATCTTCGAAGGTCTAGGAACAGCGACAAATGATGCATGTTTCATGGAAACCGTTAAAGGTCCCACGGTTCAGCTATTTAACTTTGCCGAAGCCATTAGTATCAGTCGTTGTGCTCCGGAGAAGCTATTTAAGATCCTGTATTTACACGATACCTTCTATGATTTTTACCTAATATCGACACTGTTTTTGACGGAAAATCAGCCGAATCATTTAGAGTTCAAGCGATGGAGATTCTCTCGAGGCTAGCAGAAGCAGCTAGAGGAATGATAAACGAGTTCGAAAACGCAATTCTTCGCGAGGCTTCTAAATTTCCCTTCCCCGGAGGAACGATTGATCCATGAACCAGATACGTGATGAACTACATAAGCATACGTGATGAACTACATAAGCTTAATTTTAGATTACAAGAAAACCCTAGGCGCATTAATCGTGTCTAGACCTGCAACTGTTTCTCACTACTTAGACGAGCAAACTACTACAGACATGGATTTCACAGACCACCAAGAGGAATCTCCATTAGCACTCCATTTGATTTGGATCATAATGATTCCCTACATAAGCTGAAGCAAAATCGAATGATGAACTAAGGACCATCAGTCATCAATAATATAAGTGCCATCATGCTAGTTTTAGATCTACAGTAGAAACTACAGAAAAACGGTAACCCACATAGTCTACTATTGAGTTCCACAAACAATTAGTACACAAAAATTAAGCAACATCAGATGTCGCTTCAGCTGACCAGAACTATGTTTTTCTTCTAATGTTGGAAACAGTCTACAGAATTGCATCTGGTTCTACCCAACCCTTTCTCGCCCCTTTATGTTTTTTTAGACAAATATCAAAATTCTTCACAATTGACTTTAAAGATATATAGCATCAGTGTAGGATTTTTTTTTTTTTGAATTTTGCAGGTGGTTAGAGTACATGTTACTTTAAATGGAGATCTCAAGAACCAGTTTGTGGAACCTAATGTTGGTTTTGGTACAATTTGCAAGGTATCATTATGCATCCCACAATTAACTTTAAAGATATATAATTATAGACATGTCACCTTTCTTGATTATTTTCTAGGTTGACTCTCAACTCATTAGCAACATGCTCTTTCTGCTGACATCATTATACATCTTGTAATTTAACAAAAGGTAAATCCACACAATTGAAAAAAAGTTTCATTTTCTTTTCTTACTTTTTAGCAAAAATTAAGCAATCAAGAAATGTTTTTTCTTCATTGATCAGTACTACTATTTTGTTCGGCTAATGGGTCAGAAAGCCTCACATGTTGCCTTGGAATGCACTCTGCAATCACATCCTAACATGGTAGTTGTTACACCTCATTTCTTATTAGATTGAGTCATTTATAGACATATATTTACATAGTTTTAACCTTCTTTTATAGGTTATTCTTGGTGAGGAAGTTGTTGCTTCAAAACTTACCAATTTTTCCTTTAACAGGAGAACCAACATAAAAGCAGGCAATATAGGTTGCACCTTAATTTCAAAAAATTTCTGCAAAAGAGGAAACAGTCAATCATCCTCCAAATGGTGTAATCGAAGCTGATTGGGTAAAATTATATCAAAAATTTGCAAGTGAAGAATTTCAGGTTTTTACTTCTTTGCCAAATTATATCAACAAATGATAAAATGACATAAATGGTCATTGAGTTTTTACTTTGCATAGTTACAGAATTGGTCCCTGTGTATTCAATTTGCAGAACTATAAAATTGGTCCATGTGTTTTTTGGTTTGGAAATATGATAGAAACAACCATTGTGTTTTTTTATTTTTCAAAGTTTACAGAAATGGTTCCTGTGTTTTTACTTTGTAGAATTACAGGAATTGTCCCTGTGTAATATTGTGGACAAGTGACATAAATGGTCCATGTTTTTTTGATTTGCAAATATGACAGAAACAACCCTTGTGCTTTTTTATTTTGCAAAATTCATAGAAATGGTTCCTATGTTTTTACTTCACATAATTACAAAAATCTCCATGTGTCTTTACATTTTGCATGACATAATCCTTTTCACTTCTTTAATTTTTGCAGAAAGTTAGCATTAGAAATAAGAACAAATCATCTAATCAAGTTCCATGTGTTGTTGGCACAATTTCAGTTACAAGGATTGTTGACAAATATATATCTTAAATCTTTCATTGCATTGTCAGAGTTTTCTTCCTTTAGTTCAACTTTGTTATATATATATATATATATATATATATATATATATATATATATATATATATATATATATATATATATTGACAAACTTATCGTTAACAACCTTTTGAAACAGAAAAACAAAGAAAGAGAAGCATCATTTATTTAACGTTACAAGATTGGACATTTTCAAAAAAGAAAAATCAAATGATCAACGAGAAGACTAAAGAAATTTGGGTATTTTTAATATCTTGACATACTTATGAATAACTTTTGTGTTTTACTTTTAATCTAAATTGTTTTTTATGCAGAATGAATTGCTAAATGAGGTCGGATGAAATTTGTATGAAAAAACTACATTGTATATCGGGATATATAAATGGGCGTTTTGTTTCGACAAAACAAGTTTTAGGCACAAAAAGTTGCAAAAGGAACTTGAATTAAAAAAGGAAAAAGCAAAAGCCTTAGAGGAGGAAATTCGTGTAATTAAAGAAGAGCAACTACAATTTCAAGATGAGCGGATCAAATATTGAGAGGAACAAAATAAGAAAATGAAATTTATGATGAGTGAGATTTCACATTTATCTCAATTACATTGATCAATTGAATTTACTTTTAATCCACATTGATCTTTATATGTTTGTTTTTTGAAATATTAAATAAAAATGTATGTATTTTGTTTCTTAAAAATGACATTTAATTTTCATATTATAATTGTGAAGATTTATTTGGTTATTGTTGTTGTATTGTAAAATTTTACAGGATTGTTTTTTCTTTTTTCTAATTAGATATTGTTATATTTCATATTAAAAATGACATTTAATATTTCAGTAATTTCTTAATTATTGACCTCTTTTTGTGTCTAATAGGATAAACAGTGACGACTTGTTATAGTCACTAATGATATAAACTAGTGACCACATTCTATGGTCACTAATCGAATAAAACAGTGATGACTTTTATTGATCACTAAATAGATAAAATAGTGACGACTTTCATTTATAGTGACAACATTTAGTGACGAAGTGGGTCGTCACAGAATTAGTGACGAGTATATTTTAGTCACTATTTAGTGACCATATTTATATTTGGTCACTAAATCGGTTTTGTGACGGACTTATAGTGACGAAAAGTGACTACTGAAATTTTGGTCACTAAATCATTTAGTGACGATTCATTCTATTGTTAGTGACCATTTTGTTTTGGTCACTAATTGACATATTTTTGTAGTGGGGGTAAGCGAATAGCCTTTTTTGTCGATTAGTGATACTCGATGTATGCATAAGTGTAGTTGGCGGACCGAGCTAGATGTTTTGAAGAATAAGTGTTTTCTTGGGCTAAGGGGGTGTTTATATAAATATTTTTTAGCTTATTAGAATATTGCTTGTTTGCTTATTGTGGTGAGAATAAACAATTTTTTTTAATGTGTTTGGATTAGCTTATTACGGTGGGAATAAGAAATAAACAATAAACATTTAAGTGTTTGACAAAATAAAACAGCTTATATGAGTAAAATGACCAATAAGCAATAAACATTCCCCCCAATGCTTATTAAAATCAGCTTATTTTTGCTTATTCCTACCGCAATAAGCTGATTTTTAAAGAGTCTTATCCAAACACTTAAATTTGCTTATTGCGGTGAGATTAAGCTATAAGCAGCCTCTTTTTTCTCTATCCAAACACCCCCTAAGCGGGTAGCCTTTTTGTCAAGTGCTGATACACCATGAATGCATATGTGTAGTCGGCAGATCGAGCTACATGTTTTGAAGAATAAGTGTATTCTTGGGCTAAGCAGGTAGCCTTTTTGTCAATTAGTGATACTTGATATAAGAATATGTGTAGTCGACAGACCGAGCTACATGTTTTGAAGAATTAAGTGTATTCTTGAGCAAAGTGGGTAGTTTTTTTGTCGAGTAGTGATACTCGATGTATGCAAAATTGTATTTGGTGGACCAAGCTATATGTTTTGAGAAAATAAGTGTATTCTTGGCCTAAGTGGGTAGCCTTTTTGATGAGTGGTGATACTCGATGTATGCATATGTGTAATCGGAGGACCGGGCTACATGTTTTGAAGATAAGTGTATTTTTGGGTTAAGTGGGTAGCCTTTTTGTCGAGTAGTGATACTCAATGTATGTGTAGAGCTACATGTTTTGAAGACTGAGTGTATTCGTAGGCTAAGTGGGTAGCCTTTTTGTCGAGTAGTGATACTCGATGTTTGCATAAGTGTAGTCAGTGGACGGATCTGCATGTTTTGAAGAATAAGTGATTGTTGGGCTAAGCGGGTAGCCTCTTTGTCGAGTAGAAATACTTGATGTATGCATAAGTGTAGTCGACGAACCAAGATACATGTTTTGAATAATAAGTGTATTCTTGGGCTAAGTGGGTAGCCTTTTTGTCGAGTAAAGATACTTGTTGTATGCATAAGTGTAGTCAGCGGACCGAGCTACATGTTTTGATAAATAAGTTTATTCTTGGGCTAAGCGGTTAGCCTTTTTGTCAGGTAGTGATACTCGATGTATGCATAAGTGTAGTCGGTGGACCAAGCTACATGTTTTGAAGAATAAGTTTATTCTAGGGCTAAGCGATTAGCCTTTTTGTGAGGTAGTGATACTCGATGTATGCGTAAGTGTAGTCAGTGGACCGAGCTATATGTTTTGAAAAAAAAGTGTATTCTTGGGCTAAGGGAGTTTCCTTTTTGTTGAGTAATGATACTTAAAGTATACATAAGTGTGGCCGGCGGACCAAGCTACATCTTTTGAAGAATAAGTGTATTGTTGGGCTAAGTTTGTAGCATTTTTTTCGAGTAGTGATACTCGATGTATGCATAACTGTAGTTGGAGGATCATGCTCCATGTTTTGAAGAATAATTTTATTCTTGGGCTAAGCAGGTAGCCTTTTGTCGAGTAGTGATAGTCGATGTATATATACATAAGTGTAGTCTGCGGACCAAGATACATGTTGTGAAGAATAAGTGTATTCTTAGGCTAACCGGGTAGCCTTTTTGTCGAGTATTGATACTCAATGTATGTATAAGTGTAGTATGCGGACCGAGCCACATGTTTTGAAGAATACGTGTATTCTTGGGCTAATCGGGTAGCCTTTTGTCGAGTAGTGATACTCGACGTGTACATAAGTGTAATCGGCAGACCGAGCTACATGTTTTGTAAAGTAAGTGTATTTTA